GCTATTGCTTTATTCATTGCTTATATGTGGTTTAGTATATTTCTACTGGGCTGTGGCTCACCCTTTATGGGAACATCATTTTCAGGTTCAGGTGATAAGCTACCTCCAAGGACTTAGCTTGGAAGGACTTGGATTTTGAAGACTATTTTTAGTTATTTGTTTTTCATTGTTAGTACATGTAAACACTCAAGCCTAGGGCTTTATTTATATTTGAGTTAGAACTCATACTTTGTGTCCAAGTGTTGGCTTGGAAAGATGTAAGCCGGTAGGGCATTTACTTTGATGTTTCATGTAATGCATTTGTTTAGTAAGACTCTGATGGATATTATAATGAATTATTAAAGTGTTTTCTTTAAATAATGCATGTCAATGATATATATAATGGGTATATTTTTGAGGGCGTTACACATTCCACAATAAGCAAACTCTTATTCAGGAAATATCTGAAAACAAAAAACAAAAATAATTAATGACAATCTACTACTATTATAAAAGTGTGAAGAACTTACATGTTTTCTACTTTTTTTAAATCTCAATTTTACCTTCTCAAATATACTATATTTTCTAAATTATGAAGAGTTCTATATAAACCAACTATTTCTTTATTTTTGAAATTGAACACTCAAAAGTTATATATCTGTTTTCAAGAGTCTTATATAAATATAAACAAACCGTCTGCCTTCTTATCTAAAAAAAAAAAAAAAAACCATCTCCTTATTTTTTTACATTAATGATGATTGAAAAACAAAAAATAATTACACTTTTTTATTTTTTGTAAACTTTATAAACTAGATAGTTTTGTATAGCTAAAAAACTAATATTTTATTTTTATAAACTTTATATTATTAGCCTTGTTTGATAGATTTCATTGTGTAGATTCCAAAAATATAATTTTTATTAAATCTATATAACAAGGGAAGAAGGCTTTTGAATATTTGATGGGACTTTTGTTTATTTGTCAAAGTATGAACCGTTAGATTGGTTCAATCCCATGGTTGAAAATGTTTCCCTCACTTGGACATTTCAATGGTTGAGATTTTTTGGGTGAATATCAATGGTTGAGATCAGTTTTCCATTTAGCTTTTAGATTTTCACATATTTACACAGACATCTTCTCTCTCTCTCTCTCTCTCTCTCTCATTTTGATTTCAAAATTTGAAGCTCGGCTCTGTCACACCTCTTCCTCTTCCCACCACATATCTTCCTCTTTCCACCAAGCTTTCTCTCTCCGGTGGTGATTAGCTCCGACAGAATATAGCCCTGGTGGTGATATCCGGAATATAGCTCCATCTACCTCAATCTCTGTCTCCTCTCTCCCTACACAGCTCCAAGGTAGAAAGCTATCCTCCATGTTGTTTTTTGTTATTTTTTTAGGTGGTGTAAGAATCTAGGGTTTCCCCCCTCTTCTATTTCCAGAATATTGCTCCATCTGCCTCAATATCTTCTTCTATTTCTCCCCCTTCTATTTGGGTTTTGAAAATATGGGTGGAAGTTGTAGTGATTAACCCTAATGAAATCTAGAAAACCCAATATGTTGTTTTGGTGATTAACCCTAATGAAATCCATAATCAATATGTTGTTCTAGAATTGGGTATTATGAATTTCTTTTGTATACATAAAATTGGTTTAAAGTTGTACGAAATGCTAGGTTTTGTTTATGGTTAGTGATTGATTTGCAAAAGAAGCACATTTTGTCCTGTTTTTATGATTTAATGATTTAATTCATAACTAAAGTTCCAGAAGTTTTGAGGAGTCTATTATGTCTTCCATTTGAAGAGAGGGAAAAAGAAAGAAAGAATGTAAAGACTGAATGTAAAGAATGTAAAGATTTGATATTTAATTCATAACTAAAGTTCCAGAAGTTTTTCTCTTACTTCCCCCTTCCCCCTTCCCCCTCTTCTATTTGGGTTTCATTGATTTTTTCTTTCTTCTTGTTTGGTTGTCGAGAAAATGGCAGCAGAAGTAGAGAAAATGAAATTTTCGTTACTGTCATTTCTGGGTTTGACTGAAAGGTTTTGTACTCAAGAACAAGTGTTGATGTTCTTAATTGTTACAGTGGACCAGAGACAAATTCAACTCTATTTAAATTCTGAATATTTTTCTAAATAAATCATATTTATGAAGAAAGAAATACCAGCTTCTTTTTAAGTGTAACACATTAACCCCAATCATCCATTCAGGAGGGGTGTCTCTTAGTCTTAGATATGGATATCTCAAGGAGCTTGAATTTATTGACTTTGTTCTTGGCTTTAAACAAGGTCCTTTAATTTGTTTATATTAATGATGCCACCAGTCTTTAGGGAGGAAGGTTAGTAATTGTAGGAACTATAGAAAGGTACACTTGGTTATTTCGTTTCTAAATAGAAAATTATTAGATACTCTAGGAGTACCATGTAATATAGTTTCTTTTTTGCTTTCTACTACATCTTTCTTATAGGTTAAGGCTTTTATTTATTTATTATATCTAATTTCCTCTTAATAAAAAGCTTTTCCTATAATTTACAGGTGGATGAGACTTAAACCCAGGTAAAACTCTATGCTTATTCATTTTCTCAAAATTTTCCCTTCGCATACTATTTTTGATTTGATTATATATAGGTTATAGTCAAACTCTTATGTTTTTGTGTGTTGCGATTATATAGCATATTCTGTTATTTTGCCAGTAGAATGTTTGATAAAATACCTAAAATAGAGTCTCTTCTTTATTTCCTTCACTGTAGTTACCAAGTGGAAGCATAAGCTCGACTGCCTTCAGAGTTTCTGTGCTTTGAATTTGGTATGGTAACTCTCTCTATTTTATATCAAACAATACGTTCGTGAGATACAGTTTGGCTTTGCAATATTTATGGCAAATGATGCCATGGCTTTGACCCATTTTCATAATAGGATGGTGAAAGAACATGTTGTGGATGACTTTGACCATTTTAATTTGATTTTAATTTTGTTTTCTCCAATTGAACCCGTTGCTCCATAAATGTTTTGGTTAGCAGATTGGATTTCCATTGTATATGGAATTTTAATGAGAACGCTGTGAGTGTGGGAAAAGGTCATTGGAGCTATTCCCTTCCCAAATTCACATTTCATTTTTGATAATCTATTTTCAACAATGGGGTATCTTTATAAAAATTCCATCCTTAAAGAAAAGGATGGTCGGGATAGCTAATAATGTTCTGTTACATATTTTTTGTATTCCTCCGATTGAAAATTAGGTCGTAGTGTGTGCCTCTACAGCTTGCTTCTACTGTATGATAAGTTTTTGATCGGTCATGCTAATTTGGGTTTGATGAAAATGAGCAACCTTGGTTGTGGTGATGAAGTTGATGTCATTACTAGGTTGTGAGGTACTTATCAATTACGACAGTTAGCAAAATTGGTGAGTACTCTATTGAATTTGGTAATTCTGTTAAACCCGGTGAAGGTTGACAAGTGCTACCGCTTGAGAAATCCCAATAATCAATGTTATAAGCTTTTTTTTTTTTTTTGTTGGGATTGCCTTCAGGCACGAGTTATAGGCTAGGAGAGCTTAGGCATCATTAGCTTTACAGTTATTTTTTCCCTTTTGTTGATGAAGAAACTTATCTTTATTTGTCATTTTCAAGTGTATGGAACTATGCAGTTCGTTTTTAAGTGTAAATTTAAAACTTTGTCATGTTTATATGTGAAAGTAATCTATATAATAAGGGAGAAGAGTTTTTGAATTTGTGTGAAAATGTATCAGAGATACATTTCAATTTAACGGCTGAGATGAGTTGTTTTTAACCATTAAGGGTTGAGATGGTTTGTGATGTTTTCAACGTCCCGCCCAAAACAATCCTCTATCTCCTGCACCCAAACATTATTTGCACACACTCTCTCTCTTTCCAACTTCTTAGGTCTCAATCTCTCTCTCCTCAGAGCTCTCTCTCTCTCTTCCACTCCCTCCTCTCCACTGCTGCTCCGCTTCCATCGTTGCGCCGCCTCCAATCTCCACCGACAGCCACTCTTTATCTCCTCTCCCTCCGAAATCTCAAATCGTCCTCCGCCGTCACTATGTCTTCCCAAAGAAAACGCAGAGAGATGGTGAAATTGTAAGTCTCCAACTTTAATTTGGTGTAAACTATTTTAATTTGTTGTGGTTGGAGTGGTTGTGATTTTTGAAATGGGTTTGATGGGTTTTGATTTCTGAAATTTGAAATGGATTTGATGGGTTTAATTCGCAGAAATTCGAAGTTAAATGGATTTCTAATAATTTGATTTATAATTTCTAATAATTTGTCTTCCCAAAGTAAACGCAGAGAGATAGTGAAACTGTAAGTCTCTAACTTTAATTTGGTGTGAACTATTTTAATTGTTGTGGTTGGAGTGGTTGTGATTTCTGAAATGGGTTTGATGGGTTTTGATTTCTAATAATTTGAAATGGATTTGATGGGTTTAGTTAAATTTGTATGAAACAATAATATTAGGAGTCAATAACTCAAAACACACCCACACAAATATGAAACAACATTTGATGATAAAGAGGATTACATCTTATTGCAACCATGGTAGTCTTCTTCCCATAAAATTGTTGATTTGTAGGTATATGATTGATATCCTCTGTGGTTGGAGTGGTTGTGATTTCATCCATAAACTATTTTGATTTGTAGGAAATTATCATCCATCATGCTTGCTATAGGTATGATTTGTAGGTATATGATTGAACACAATAAAAATACTTTTTATTTTTATTTTTTTGGTCATGTGTTAATGATGAAATAAAAAAAATAGTACCTACAAATTCATTTGATGAATGAATGTGTTAATAGTTAGGATTTGTATAGTCAAGTTAGACAACCATGGCTTTAAATTTTTATTCTGTTAATTGTTAGGATTTGAATCTTTTTCAGTTAATTGATTTTGAAATTCTGTTAATTGATTTTTTTCTTTTTCATGTTATCCCGTTACCTTTCTTTTGTTACTATAAATTTTTCTTTTGTTCAACGCCAACCAAGTGTAGCATACCTAAGTGAAATCTGTATTAAAAAGGTAACGGGATAACATTAAATTTGAAACTCTTTTTAATTATTTGAAGCAAGTAATTTGGATTGGAGGGTGGTTGCATAACTGAAGACCTCAATCTTCTGGACACATCAGCAATACTGCACATGGAACCGAGTAATCGAATCAGCAATACTGCGCATGGAACCGAGTAATCGACTTGATTTCTATTTACCTAATTAGTTTTGTGTTCAGTATAGAAACATAAATTTACTCTTTTTTGATATTGTCAATTTCTTTTTGTGCTGCTGCTTCTTCTCATGTTGACTTCTTCTCATATTGTCAATTTCTAAATGTAATTTTTTTCTCTTTTGTGATTTGTTAAGATTTTTATTGTCTTTGAACATGAATTTAGCCTATTTTCTAGCTTCTGAATGAATTTCAGTTTTTTCCACCTAATTCCCAAATCATAATATCTTGATGAAGTGACACACACACAGATATATGATATCTACACAGAAGTGTGGCATCTCCAATGGTTATTGCCACATGGTACAAATGTCTTTTTTTTTTTTTAACCACCATATGATTCAATCTACACCGTACAACGTGTTTATCCGTGTGTAAATGTAAATTCTGAAATTTGAAAAATAACAACTTTGTAAATTTTAGGCAAAATGTCAACTGATCAAATGTGCTAAAATTTGGCATTTTGCTACACTTGGTGCCCAAATATATTACAATGCCAAATTTTGGCACACCATTGGAGCGGTTCTTCTTCTATGCTCAAATCCCAAATTTTGGCTTTGGTATGAGGTTGTGCATACAATTGGAGATGCTCTTATTTGCATCATATTAAGAATGGAGAACGTTAGGAGATTATGGTAAGTTTTACATGGCCATCAGTGAAATTATTTTTTCCCGTTAGTAGAACATATCAATGAAAACCATTTATTTTCCACGCCTCAATTGAAAGCACGGGTAGGAAGAGCTGAGTAGCTGAAATTGAAATTTGGTTCTTTGTTAGGCATATACTTCACATTCATCATTTCATGATATGTAAGCCTAACAAGACTGATCAACTCTGCTGTCAATTTATCTGAGTAAAATATTTGTTTGATTTATCGATGTGTACTCCACAGGAAATGATGCACATGCAAATAAAAATTTGCTAAAAATTTACCAAATAGGTTTTTGTTTTCAAGCTTCTTTTTTTCTCCTTCCTTGAAAGTTCAAACATTTAGTTTGGATGTGCTTTGATTGTTGGAAAACTTTGTTCTTTACCTGCTTGCAAAACTTTTTGTTTTATTGTTGACGGTAAATGAAAGAACAGAACAACAACTTAAAGATCGCATAAACACGTAATTAAACTAAAATAAAACTATTTGGGCCTTAATTGAATTTCATTTGAAAACTCGCCTATGTTCTTATAAACTTTGATTTCAAATCGCTTCATTTGATTGGAAACTCTCACAGCTTCTGTGAACTTAGATAGATGTTTTTGAGTTTGTTTCATGGTGGGTCACCAAAGCTCAACAATGGTTGTTTGCCTATGCCATTTTCTTGGTATAGAAACAGGAATTTTCAGATTGAAGGCATAATTCCATCTCTATAATTGATAATTTATTTTTAAGACAAGAGTTGGGATTACAATTATATTCTAATCCCAACATTATTTACACCGTGCCTTCAGGCCCGGGTGTACATTATTTACAACGTGATGAATTGTTTAGCAATTACGGATAATTTGTTTCAGTATATTATCATAGACATTTCTACCATTCAAAGTTTGTTTTTTTTTGTTTTTTTTTGTTTTTTTTTTTTTGTTTTTGGTGAATCAGTGGTCATTTCCGCTGATTTCCCATTAATGACAGAAAAAAAATGGGATGGATTATTCTAAATAGTTGTATCTTCTTACAGGAATACTTACCAGATGGACGATTCATTGTTAGTGCTGATCGGGATTTTAAAATTCGTGTAACTCATTTTCCTCCCCATTGAAATAAACTATTATTTAGTCAATTCCATTTTATTTCTTTATCCAATAATGTTAATCTCATGAGATACAGAGTTTTTGCCTTGGGCATACCAAGTGAGTGATTTTTTTTGTTATCACATGTTTATATTACATCAGTGGTAGGAGAAAACGAAGTTGACAGCAGACAGGAATGGGGGTTTTGGCTTAAGTCTCTCAGAATTTTGCTGCTTGAGCTAAAAATAAAGATTTTTTTTTTTTGGAAAAGTTATTAACATAGTGACATTGAGAATCTGATTGTAGCATCTATCTGACATAATGGTCCAGATTAACTTAATACATTTTGTTATAACAAACGGATGTTTTTTTGTTGATGTTGTTTTGTTCATAATAGTATGAATTTATTATTAGTTGGATCTTTATCTGCCCGGGCCAAGCAACTTCAGCCCCATGAGTACAATTCAGGTTTTTAATATTTTGTATTTGTAAACTTGAATGTGGAGTTCTGGATTTGTAAACTTCTTTCAACAGAAAATGTAATTGAGTTATGTTGTTTGTGCATGTAGGGACTTTCACTCTTCATGATTCATTCCAAGCAAATCAGTTAGCAATGGGTTTTGTTTTTCTTTGGATCACCTATAATTTATTTGGATTGGTGTTTCTAAACCTTAAACTAATATGTATTTGTTTTTCTTCAGCCTCCTATAATTTATTTAGCAATGGGTTTGCTTTTCCTTAAATGGGTTTTGTTAGCAATGGGTTTGATTCTCAAATATATATCAGTTAGCAATGGGTTTTGTTTTTCTTTGGATCACCTATAATTTATTTGGATTGGTGTTTCTAAACCTTAAACCTTAAACTAATTGTGAGATGGGTTTTTGTTTTTCTTCTGCGCTGAAGGAAAAGCAGCAGCAGCAGCAGATGCCTAGCTCTTCGTCCTCCTCTCCAATCTCCTCCAGCACGTATGATTCCTGACATATGTAATATCCTTATCTATGTATTTGTACCATTTTTGTTTGGTAGATATGAAATTATAGAAGTGGTAAAACATGTGTAATGATTAAGTTCTAATTATTTCTGAATCTTTGATGAGATCTGTCATCTTGGTATTTGAATTTGATAGATTAGGTGATCTAGGTTTTCTTTTTTATTTATCAATGAGTTGGGTTTCAATTGTTAGGGTTAGATTCTCATTCTCAGTGTTCCTTTTGCTGCCATTTTATTGTTACAATCCAGAGGCTTCAATGTTATTTTACGTTGTTTATGGGTCATTTACATTGGGCTCCATACTGTTATTATTAGAATTCCATTCTCCCAAACCCACAATTTTATTAATTGAACTCAACTCATCTTAATCTAATACATTTTATCCAAGCACCAAGAACTACATTAGTTTTTGAATTGGTTGTGGTGACCATTGAGCGTAGAACACCATTTAGTGTACACTGGTTAGTTTTTTTATTTTGTTGTACACTGGTTAGTTTTTCCAATGTTCTGTAGAACACTATTGACTATTTTTTTATTACCACTGGTTAGTTTTTTATTTTGTTGTACACGGGTGATCCTCTTGTTGTTATCATAGCAGCCACAAACCTGGGGTGATGCTCCTGTTAAAATTAGAATTGGGTTATTGGGTTTTGATTAAAATTAGAATTTTCTTTGATTAGAATTAGAATTATTTGATTAGAATTCTAAAATTAAAATTAGAATTATTTGATTCAATTTCAGTTTTTCTGTTATTGGGTTTTGTGAATTTTCTTTTTGTTTCAGTGGCTTCAAGGTTTTGATAATTGATCGGTTTTTGTCCGATACTGCTCTCCAGTTCTCCAGTCCTCGATTTGTATCTCGAACTTTGCTCACAAGGTAACCTTCATCATCTTCTGAATTTTTTGGGTCTATCTTTGCGCCTTCTTCCAAGGTATTAATTCCCTTTTCCCACCACTTTCGAATTGTGTTGATTATGGACATTTGACAAGTTCTTTGCATTTTCTTTGAATTATTTGATTCAATTTCAGTTTCTTTGCATTTTCTTTGAATTTTGTTAATGGGCATTAGTTTTTTTGTTTCAATGGCTTCAAGGTTCCGAGACAAATTAGATCCAATTTGATATAAATGGTGTTTCTTTTTAATATAGAAACTGGGCAAACCCTTTTTCCATTGGATTGATAATAGTTTATTACTTGAGTCTTTCAGCTCACAATTAATTGGAATAAGTTTTTTTTTTTTTGGTTTTTTTTATAAAAAAGACAAACTAATTTCATGACTCAGAAATTTTACCAAGTTTTTCTGCTAAACTAAACTTTTTGCTTTATTGTTTTCAGTTCTCCTTGCAATATCTGTTCCATAAATGAAAAATAATACATGGAAGTGAAAGGTATGCATTCCTTTTAAGCACTAAATCGTACAGATTCAGTCAGTTTTTTTTTTTTTTGCCAGCAAATAACAACCACTTTCTATAATAGGAATGCACTTACAAATACTTGGTAGCATGGGATTTGTTACATTTGAGAGGGACACAAATGCCTTGAGAGCCAGAAAAGTATTGATACCTAGAATAATAAACTCTAATTCCCTCTCAAAACAAGAATGAAATCAGAATCCAGAAAAGCTCATAATGTTGCAATAAAAAATAAAGAATAAAAAGACATCCAAAGGGATTGCCCCCATTTTGGTCTAATAATAACCCAAACCCCTGTAACATCAAGGGGGGCAATTTTGGCCACATTATTGTCTAACCATGAAAGCAATATCAGAATAATGGTTCCAGACCTTTCTGTTCAACTCAAAAATAAATAAACTTATCATTTCACAGCCATTCCCATAATATAATTTTGATTTCTGACAAACAAATAAGGTATGTGTACAGTACTTTTGAGATCACATAGTTATGAACAAATATCAAAGTTCTGTTTCATTCAAGCTAGAATAAGCTCCTTTTGCTTAGGATATACATGTTTATAAACCAAATTCAATTTTATATCACATAATTCCTAACCATATAGTCAATTTTCTGTTAGGAACAGAACCCCAATTTAAAACAACATTATGCCAATAGGTGTTTAAACAATCATCTAAATATCGCTAACCTCTAATTTCAATTCTGCATGCCAAGCTGTTTTGGGAGATGACGAGCAGAAACTGGTTCAATGAAAGAAGAATAGTTTTGGCATCGGAGAGAGAGGATGACTTATTGAGAGAGTTCATGAAAAGGCAAAGAATTGGACATTAGTTAAGAATTGTAGGAAAGTAATCTTATTGACACTTTTTTTTTTCTTTTTCCTTTTTTAAATGTTGTGACTGAGGAGGATGAACTAGACACTTCTTGCTATTTTTGGTCTCAAAGGTACTGACTCAACACACATAGAGTTAATGAAATGTTTGATTCTTTAATGAGAAATGGGTGTTAATTTTTTAATTCATAAAATGGGTTTTTCTATATTATGAGTTTTTCTATTGTTTGCTAAATACTCATAAATATATACGGATCTATAAATACTTCTGAGTTTGCTAAATACTCTTTAAATGATGATATGGATTTTCCTATATTTATTGGGCTTTTTGTGTTTTTCTATTTTTTTTCCCCTTTATTTGGGAGTGGGGATTGGTAAGCTGTGATAAATATATATATATATGTATATATAGTTTCAGCATTGCCTATTACTTTTTTAAGACCCTATAAACAATTGTTTCCTTACTATATGCTGTTGATTTGTTGTTTTATCCATTGAATTTTATTATATTAGTTTAGTCTTATAGTTTATTTAATTTCAATCTCAATTTTGTTGGCTGCTGCCCATGAGCTAACCAAATAGATCCAAAGGGGCTGGTTTGATATTTTGCTTATGATCATGTATTGCTTAACAAATATTCAAAATTTATTTAAGGTTGGAAGCAAAATGAATCTGAATGGGTGTAGGTGAAGATTGAAGAAGATGATAGAGGGTGACATACACAAAATTGATGGGACTAAACTGATATAATAAATGACTTTAGGTTTTTGAAAGAAAATAAATGGAGTTTTTTAAGTTGTATTGATTTGTAAATGATGGGAGAATTAAGTTAGTTAGAGTTTGCTTTTTGAATTTTATTTTATTAAATTCTTTCTTAAGAACACGTCTTTCTTAAATTTTCCCTCTAACCTTATGTGATCAATTAAAGGAAGTTCCAAAAAGAAAGAGTTGAACACGTCTAACCTTATGTGATGAACACGTCTTTCTTTCTTAATATTTTTATCAATCATTAATTTGTATTTGTGTTGATATTGTGTTGTGTTTGTTCGTAGTGTTTGCATTGGGTAACCAATTATTATTTTGCAACAATGTATGTGTTTGGTTTGAATTGGGTGGTCTATAAAAAAAACATTTCATTAGTGTGACAATGTGTGTGTTTGTTTTGAATTGGGTAGTCTCTTTTAATTATCATATTGGCTTTTTTTCTATTTTACAGGTGGATGAAGACTACAAGTGAATGGTAATATTGACTGCCTTTTTACAAGTCTACATTTCTTCAGGCTTAAGTTTTTCTTATCTCTCTAATGATTTTGTATTTATTGTTGTATAAACTAAACGTGCACTTCTTTGATTGATGAGTGTTGAAAGAGGGGCAATCTCGAGTGAGCAACAATCTCGAGGGCAGAATTGACACTATTTTTGGTTTTATCGTTGACAAACTTTGAAAATGATTGACGTTGTATAAAGTTAAGGATTATGGTAGATTGACGTTTGTAGACACCCCATTTTTGACCGTCCTCAAGACTTGGACGTCACCGTTTAAACACTCGCTGATCATCCTTGTTCGTGTTCGTTTTGAGATCTCGAAGGACTCGGCTGCGCGCCTTGCCTTAGGATCTCACGACTTGACTGTTTTGTGCTTGGTTGTGGACCAAGGACTTGTGGTTTTTGCACCTTAGGGTAGGAAGTGGCTTGTTAGCCATCCCTTAAACCCACCGGCCGTGGCATGAAGCCACCGGCCTTGCTTTCTTTCTACCGACCATTTGTTTGGTCGGTCGGCCCTGATATCTAGTCGGTCGGCCATTTATTTGGCTGATTGTCTCTTTTTTTGGCCGGTGCCCCCTTTCTGCCTTTTTAAGGCATTGTTCATACCAGCTGTGCCAGCTGGAGTGCACGAACTTGTCCTCCATACTCGTGAATGGAGGACTTGCACCCTTTGCACCCTTGTGCTCTAAGCTTCTTGGAGAAGCTTAGACCCTTTGTCTTAGCTTCCTCAAGAAGACTTGCACCCTTTGTCTTAGCTTCCCCAAGAAGCTTGGACCTTTGGTCTAGCTTCTTGAGGAAGCTTGGCTCCTTTGCCTTAGCTTCTCTAAGAAGCTTTGGTCCCTTGTTTGTTCTATAAAATGAGGCCTCTCCTTTCATTAGAGGGGTTCAGCAAAAATCAGAGATATATATGATATATATATCACTCTCCCTCTATATCTCCCTCTCTCTCTTCATTTGTGTGTGTTAGAGTGTCCAAAAGGGTGTTTTGTTCTTAGTTTTGCACTAAAACACCTAGTGTTACACCATACCTTGGTTATTGAGGTGTTGAGAGGTTGTTCTTGGAGCTTTTGAGTTGGTTTTGACT